GCCTAGTCCTGGGCAAGTCATTCCTTAGCCCAGTTTTAATTGGATGTAATAAAATGGGAGCCCTTAGAATTGCCTAAATCTTCCTTTGTAGGAAGATTACAGGAACTCTCAGATCTGATTAAGGGAATGGTGCAGGGGTGCTGGTTTTCATTAATTCTCTGTAGAATAGCCTGTGTGGCCTGTAAAGCTAGATGGATCCTACAGGCTGACTGTTGGCTATTTGGGTTCAGTAAAGAAGTTTCCCAACAGCCTCTACCATGCTGGCTGGATGTGGTGAAAACTATTCAAGAGTTTTGGACACAAAACTCTATCCAAGAGTTAAGGACAGAGATGGCTGGTTGGATTTGATAGACTTGACTGATGCTTTGTTTTTAGTCTCAATGGTACGAAAAAGTAAAACACAGCATGTCTTCATGTGAGGTGGACACAATTATAATCTTACTGTCCATCCCTAAGGGAACCTAAATTCTCCAGTATGTTGTCACAACCGGATAAGAAACAATTTGGTCCAGATCATTGTCAAAAGTAAGTTGTTTAATAAATGATAATTTCCCTCACCAAACAGAAAGTCAAGGAGAGTTTGGAAACTAGTGGCATCTTTGACTCAGTACGGGTGGCTAATTAATCCAGATAAGATGCAAGGTCCAGCCCCATGAGTCCACTTACAAGGCATAACCTTGTCTGAGGACATTAGCTACAAGTCACAAACATTAAAGGACAAACTTTTATTTCTTCTGCATTCTACTATTAAAAAAAAAAAGAAAGAAAGAAAGAAAGAAAAAACTTGTGGCACTGTTGAAATTTGGCAGGTACATTTTGGATTTCTATTGGCCCCACTGTATAAGGTAACCAGATGGAATTTCAAAGGGAAACTAAAGCAGACTGTGGGCGATCTAAGGCACGTAGTAGCCAAGTTGGTCTCTCTGAGGTCTTAAAATTCACTGATTGTACAAGTATCCTTTGCTAAAACACACATAGACTGGAGTTTCTGGAAAAAGCTCAATAGTGGCACTCTAAGGTAGTTGCCAGGATTCTAGACTAGAAAATCCTCTGACTCTGTCAGCAGGTATAATCTATGTGAATGACAGCTACTGGTATTCTCTTGAGTTCTGGTTAGAAATAGCCCCCAAGACCAAAGGAATCTGAAGGACATCAGTCTATATTTAGGCCTGAGATACCTACACCATCATGGGTGATGTCAAAAAAGCATTCCAGTCTAAGTGCCATGACAAAATTAAAATAGTATATTCAAGACGAACTCAATGGGAGTGACTCTGGTGAAGTGTATCCTGTCCATGTAAAAAACCCCTATGTGACAATGGGCCAATGATGGACCCTGCAGTTGAGTACCCAGAATGGTCTGAACTTCATGACTCTCTTCCAACAGAGGGAAAACAGACCACCTAGTTCACCAATGGAAAGTCCCATGTTGTGGTGAGAGCTTGTCCTGAGTATCAACAAGAGAAAACCTGTATGAAGATTGCTTTTGACTTGAATCTTCTAAGGACAAGTGCTAACATATAGTTGTAGATGAAATACTTGGGGTTCTTGCCCATGGTTTCTGGAGGATTCAGTGGCTTTTGCCTGAAATTGACAGATATTCCATCTTGGGTTTTGTTTACATTGTAACAAAAGTCATAGCTGAATACACTATTAAGGGCTTGGAACAAGGCATTTTTATATCAGTTTGGGCTTCTCAAATAGATCTCACTGAAAAACGGAACACATCTTAACCCAAAATGTACAACATGGCCCAAGAGCACAGCATAGGAAGAGTATATCATATTCCATCTGCCCAGAGAGCAAAGGCTTAAGCAGATATTGGAATGGTCAATTAAAACATTTAATTATTAGAGATGAGACGACAAGGACATGCAAAGTCTGCATAGCCTTAATTTAGCTACTTAACTCTCTTGATTCTTGGTTTCTTATTCCTGCAAAATATTTATTATACTACCTATCAGTTCTTTCAGGGTGAGAGAAAATATAAAACACCGGACAAAGCACTCAAATTGCTGCTATTATATTATTAATATTTTGAGTGTAATATTACATTATTCTAGAAATTGCACAAACACAAAAGGAAGGAATACTAATAACAACTTGAATCATTTTACTATTAGATGTTTTAAACTCAGAGTAACTAAACTAGCACTAAAATACTATGTAAAATAGGCCTACCCAGTCACCTGTTCTCCAGGAGGCCTTGCATTTGTGCACCATTACACTAAAAGGTTAACCAACAGCATAAAAATAAAAAGGCCATTCACCCCTCAAGTCCTCACTGTCTTATTGTTATAATACATGGGTTTTGCCATGTGACTGCTAGAATTCCTTGCAAATCTAATTTATGCAAAGAGTCTTTGTGTTTTAAATGTGTTGTATGAAAGAGTGGAGATCATTCTGAGTGTGCCCATGAGATGAGGCATGTGGAGTCATATCAGGGCCCTTTCAGAAACAGGTTGTCAGCTCCATGGGAAGGAAAGGAACAGAATCCTGTATAGAGTCCTGTCTGCACTCACAGGAAGACAGGGGATGAGAGAGACCATGAGCCCCTGGACCTTAAAAACATCAAGGGATTTTTTTAAATGACTGGCTTATTGGGACTTTTTTGAAAGGTTTCACTTAAACAATAATTTTAAGCAGGGATGAAGCTTTTCTATCAGCTTATTGTTATTATTAGATTACTAAATAAGAAGCAGCACTGAAATATTTTATTGCTAATTTCTCTGTTTTGCATTACCCAGTCATAAATTATCCTGTGTTTATGTATGCTTACATGTGCAGTGATATTCCTTATTGTAATTAGCACTCAAATATTTTTTTGAGATAATTTAATTTTCTGGAAATAGCTTCAGCTTACATTTTCATGGATTACATGTCATAAAAGCAAGGAATAAAAAATATATCTAGAATTTTTGACTCAGAGACATTATGTATTAGCCAATCTTTAGTGGTTATAAAATTAAGGCCTTGACAACATAAAATATAGGAAGTGGGCAAAATCACTGATTAAAAAGTTAAAGAAGTAGTTTAGTTTACCCACAAGTAAACCTTCTTACTATGCTTCAAGCAAGTTAGAATGGTAGGCAATGAAGAATGGAGACAACCATTTAGCTACCACACAATTCTTTTTACAGGAATATCATTTTTCTGTAAATTTAAAACTGACAAAAAGAACATTTCAGTCATTATGCTTCTATATCATACTGTGAGACTTTGTATGTCTCTTTTCATTTTATTTCAATTATGCCAAACACTGATTCATATAAAATGCAAGTTATAACTAGAAATATTAGAGACAGACAGAAAATAGAAGGGTGCATACAGTCATTGAATGAAATTGCTTCATCTCTGTCATCAAACATGATACTGTGTACTAACACATGTGTGAGGCAAGGACTAATTTTGTATCTTCTTCTTAGTCCTCAAAAATGACCAGAAAAAAGAAAACTTACATGGATGTGAGAGTGATGAAGGCATGAAGATTGCCACTGAGTGTGAACAAAACATCAAGCATCTAGAACAGCATGAAGTATTGATGATGTGAAATGCTGTAAGGTATAACAGCATTAAACACATTATTTGCATCTTAATGTTTCTCCCTTAGTAGGTGCCTTTGGGGCAATCTTTATACAATTAAAATATTAAATAGATTATTCCAAATGTCTTTTTGTTAAATACTTTTTTGTAATGTTATTACCAAATGGTAATGTAATAAAGGAAGGAAAATTAAATTGTTATTAATTTCTACTTATATTATTTCAAAATGTGTGGATTATTTTAAATTGCTAATAAACAGCAATGACTCATTTTATTGGGAAACATCATTGTCCCTTGAGAATATTAAGAACAGATGAAAAATGTGAGTGAATTAAAATTGTTTTTCTAAAATACAAGCCTAAAATAAAATATTCAGTTTCATATATCTACACACATTTTTATATCATTTATAAATGGAAAGTCTAAAATAATGCAATTATAGATGAAGTTTAAAAAACACTTTGTTGTTGTAAGTCAATTGTTAATATAAAATTATTTGAAATTTCACTCCAGGAGAACCCTGCATTTATTATAGATGACAGCTGAATTCGCTATTAATTAGCCAAGTGTATATTGGCATATTAAACTTAGATTCAGAAATGGTTTGAAGATTGATAAATGGTAAATTTAAAAGATGTAAAAATTTAAAAATGTAAATTTAGAAAGATTAATGTTTTAGATGAAATATTATAGAGGACAGATAAGAAATCAATGGAATGATTTATTTAAAAATCTACATATCTATTTATAGCATAATATGTTAGATTCACTTACTGCCAACTCATAATTATGGCGTGACATAGGGTATTACAATAGACATCATATGTTAAAAAGCAGCATTTCTATTTTAATTAACATTGAGATGGAAGTCACCAAATGCATGTAAATTTAAACAGAGATTATATTATTTTGTCAAATATTATTGTCCTGAACAGATTTTCAGAGAATATATAGCTATAAGAAATAGCTGAGTTTAGCATAAACTAAATATTTAAATATTTGTTTCCAGGGAATAACTAAAGTCTTACAATTTTTGTCTTATTTGAGAGGATGCAATTTCAACTCCTGTTATTAGAGTCATTCAAATAGAATTTTGTTTGAATCTAAGTTATTGGGAAATAACTATTCTTCAGGTATGCATGGAAGACATTTGTAGGAAACACTTAATCTATTTAAAGAATATCTTAGCTCTAGAACAGCATAAGCTGACCTGGAATGGAAAGATTATTGAATAATCAGTGTATATGGATGCCATATGGCTTTCAAACATGAATCCTTCTCACTTTCATCAAAATAGTATATATGTACATTTGTATTTATCCTTAGACTATAGACTTAACAAATGCACAGGGCAGAAAATCAATTATTTATTATCCTTAGAAGCTATCTTGAATTATTTTTAAAGTTAGACAGCATATAAAAACATAAGTAAATAAAATAAAGTTTGTGTACAGATGGTCAAAATGCAGTCAATGATAGCTTTATTTTTTCAAAAGATAACCACTGTGCCTAGCAAAACATAAACTTGGTCAGGTTTTCTTAAATCTAGAACTAATGGTCCATTCCTATTTCATTTGCATATATAAATAATAATTAATAAATAATCATCAGTAGGGAAACAGGCACTAGAATACTGTGTACATATATTTTCTTGCAGCAAACCATTGCACTATTACATTGCATTGTGGAGGAAGCTACATGAAATGCATTAAAGCAATCCCATTTCATCCATAACTCTCAACAAAAAACATGTTTGGAAATACCTTGGCATGTCTTTTTAAGCCTCCAGGACTACAGTAATGATATCATACATGGGAATAGCAACTCTAGCCAAAATGCTTCCATATCATGCATACAGACACACACACGCACACACACACAGCACTGGAGATAGCATCCATGACATGGTGCAGTGCGTAATCAGCACACAGCAGGCTGGGACAGTGTGGGGTGGGGAAATTTGGATACAAGAGCAAACTTGTGTTCTTTCAGAATAGACGCAGGATTCTCTGGTACCTTCACAGAGGAAAAAGTAAGTTTAAAAAAGCTGTATACAATGCTGAGGTCAATGCTGAGCCTAGTTATAACTTTCCTAGGAACAATAATTGCATTAATGTAAGGTGCCCTGTTGTGGCAAACTTTCTACAGTGAGACTATTTTATTTACTTTGCCTGTTCTGCCAAATTAGAGTACTGAAGAAAATCCATGTAAACCAGTACTCATGACAATAAAGGGCATAGTACAAACATTGAGACTCATTTTGATTCTGTTTATTTCAAAATTTAGATTACTCATACTGTTTCTAAGCAAAATACATAGTTTTAAAGGACAAATTTGATCGGCCCAGAGTATTGTTAGTTTAGGGAAATAGTTTTCAAAAAGTCAAAGAAACCAATCACCCCCAAATTTGCCAAATGCTTGAAATATTTTAAACACAAAAGGGATGTATATACTTTCTTATGACTATATCTGTGTTATCATATTGTTTCTTCTATAAAAATAAAAATTTATTGACTTTCCATACAATAAGCCTGTTTTTTATTAGAGTTTTCATAAAGTAATATTTAATTAAATAGATACCTTTCATTCTATAGTTTCTATAAACATTAACTGTTTAGCTACTAGAGATATAATTATGTTGGTCTTCCAAAGAAAGATTAGAGAGTCTGCTATATAGTCTAATACCCACTTGTATCTATAAATATATATTGCAAACACTATATCTAATTATGTAAATTCCATGCCATGAAAAATTTACAGTTAAGATAATCAAGTAAAAGCAAGTGGATCATGTGAAATTTTCTTTCAGGGATGAAAAACAAAGGGAGAAGTGGGATGCTGGGAAATAAGATGTAAATTTTAGTAGCAAAAGGACAATTGCTGAGTGATTACATATTATAAGAGAACTTAGCAAGTACTTTAAAATAATACCAGATCTAGACAATCTGTTATGAGGTTGAGATTACTGCAAGAATTATTTAACATTATGTCTCTTGCAGGGATGCTTACTTGCAATGTACAGTAGAATCATCTGGTAGCTACTTTTAGATATAATTTACCCCAGAAATTAAGTTTAGCAGACAGAACTATTTGTGTGTGATTTCCCAGGCTAAATTCTTGGCTTCAATAGATTTCTATGTAATTACTGTATACTATATTATGAACCCCCAAGTCAAACCACGTATGGACCAAAACTATCTATTTTATATTGCTTTCCTAATATTTAGTCATTATACTTGGACATGTGCCTCTGTGAACTCTTTTTATTTGACAATTTCAAAGGATGCTGCTATCAAAACTAAATTGTTCACTTGCTATAAGTAACCTCAGCATATTTTAACGTTTAGAATGGATTCTAAAGATACACAGAAGGCACAAAGCATTTTGTTGCCTTATTTTGAGGTCTCTTGTGCAGCTGCTTTTAGAATTTGTTTGTATAAATAAAGTTTCCATTTATTTTCAACTAATTTTGTACAAGTCTCTGAGTGTTTCTTCTATGATGATTATTACAAGATATATGTGACATTTCTCTTTAACATATATTTTTAAATCATTTTGACCAATCAAATAGCTCTGTTAAAAAAATGAAGGGTAATATTTAAATATCCTTTTATGGATGAGAGAAGACAAGAATGAAGTTTTTAGAAAAAGAAAATAACTTTCTTAGCTGAAGGAGGATGGTGTTTGCTCCGCTTTCAATACAAAAGGGGCTACGTTTCCCCACCAAACACTGCCTTGGTAGTGCAGAATATGCTGTCTGCTTTTTACTGATGACCACATTCCTCTATTTAGAGTTAAGAAAGTCAATTTACCATATCTGAGAAACGGTAAAACTTCTCCAATGCAAAAGCTTCTGTCTGTGGGAAGGTAAAGTGGACCAAGAGGAATTGAGAAACCAGAGAATCAATTCATATATGATTAAATATAATTACACAATTGGTTGTAATTGCATATACCATTTGAACAGACCTAGGTAGCAATTAATAGATTTTCACATATGCAAAGTATCTATCCCAACGTATAAACTGAATTTAAAAAAAATCTTTTTTCATTAAATCAAAATTACATTTAATTACATTTGCTCCCTGAATATATCAAGTAGTTATCAGAAAACAGTAAGATATGACTGTTTTTGCATTTCTGCATTTTCCCAGAGTACCAGTCACTGGAGAAAATGAATGCTTCCCTCTTTCTATGAGCTAAAGAGGAAGGAGCATCAAATATTTTTATTTCACTTTTACATGTGGTAAAACTGAGTAAAGAGGCACTTTGGTAAAAATAATTTTTAAAAGAAGGATCCAGAATTGAGCATACAAACTTGTCATCTAATATTTTGTCTACTGGATATTGTGATTATTGAATGTGTGGTGGATGTAGGATATGTCTGAGCTTTCACACTTTACCCATTTGGACACCGCATGCATAAAACTTCTCTTTTCCAGAATTTACAGGACCTGCTTGATACATTCTAAATTGTATAAGGAGAAGGAAAAAGGTAAGGAAATGGAAAATCAAAATGACAAAAAGCACATCATAATGATAGGGAACATGCATATTGCTTCACTTCTAATTAATGATACTAAAAGGGAAAGTGGTCTTTATCAGTCACTAATACCAAAGAAAGACCAGAGCATCATCCCCGTGATACAGCATTTGTACTGTCATTGTTGTTCAACCAGTGCCAGTTATTATGAAAGAAAACATGAGAAAGTAGGATGTGGAGAGGGAGAGAGAAGAGGAAGAAAAAGAGATAAAGGCAGAATGAGCAGAAATGAGAAAATATAACAGACCAGTAGACCAGGGTGAGGTGAGGGAAGAAGATAAAGTTAATCTCCCCATCACAGTATGTTTCAGTGTACAAAAGATATGCTTCTGTTTTCATAAAAATTTGATTAAACGCAAGTCTTAGCACTGTTTTTTGTTCATGTATTACTGAATCTCTGATGCTGAATGCTGATGTTCTCTCCACGCTGCTGTTAATTGTGTGTTTATTGGAGCAGTGATGCTTTTTGGAGGGCCAATTAGAAATGATGAGTAAGTTACTGCTTTAGAATATGTTTAATACTAAGTAGACTCAAACACTGAGACGTCAAAGCTTTTTAAACAAGTGTAATAAATACATAAATTGCAGTATAATTTATAAACCATAAAGAATCCTTAAAAAGTTAAATCTTTACATACTTAAAAATGCACACTATGTGAACTATACTATTATCATTAAGGTTTATGTTTTGACTTAAATATGCCAGGATATTGCATCCTTGCCACAATTACACAAAACTTTGATATTACTGTCCATTGCTTTAAAAGACCATTTGCTTTTTAAATGTCTGTTGGCACATTCACATTAGAAGTAAATGCATAGATCTGCTGTTGATAGAGGATCTCTCTTACAGAAAACGGAAAGCGGATTGGTCAAAACCACGTGCATGTCAAGGGAGATGCCATTACAGTTCTGCATAGAGGAAAAACTTCATTTAGGACATCCAAATCCAATTAGGGGTTTACTTCTGAAACTGGCTATGGTCTCTTCATGATGTTCTAAGTTTCTTCCTGGTTTCATCATTTATCAGATAGTAGCCAGGAAACAACAGGACTTTCTTGTGTTTCCCACAGGGTTTCAAAAGAAATGTCTTTAGTTCATGAAAATATGCATTAAAAAGAGACCACAGAGTTTTTCATGTATTTATCATCATGGTATTAGTAAATAAGTAATATTTGATGAAAATAATGAAATGAATTAGCTCTGACAAAAGAACTTTAATAATTACATTTGATGACTTACGTCAAGTGAAACCATTAGAAATGCTCTAACATTGAAAGTAAGAAATGATATAATTCATTAATTAAAATAAAAAAGGGTCATTCCAGGAAGCACATTAAAAAGAAGCTGATGTAGGTCTCATGTCACCAGATATGCTGTTTAAAGTAGAGCTAGGTGTCATCATTTTCTCCCTGAAGTTATTTTTGACATTTTTAGTTTGGATTGGAAAAAAAATGAAAGGAACATTATATTATTTCATCCCCAGTCCCAATTGCCTCTCTTTTCATCTCTATTAAATACAACAAATTCACTTTCCAGTGAAAACTGGATGCTGCCAAACCCAAAACATTTCATCACTTACCTTATTCTTTCTCTTTCGTCGAAATCTCAGAAGTTCTTTGTGTTGTCTTGATACAAAATTTACAGCTGCATACTCCAGAAGTGCTGAAAACACAAAAAGGAGGCATACTGCCATCCAAATATCAATAGCTTTGACATATGAAACCTAGCCGAGAGAGAAAGAGAGAGCAAGCAAATTCACTTAGATTGTTACTTCCTTTGAGAACAAAACTGAGTTTTTCTGATTCTGAATTATGTCATTCATATAGAAGTATTGAAAAATACAGAAAATGACAATTTTTTCTTGAAGTTTTCAGAAGGCCATTTTTGCAAATTTTATGTATTAGTTATGAGTATTCTGTTTTTTTGTTTTTTTTTCAAATTTAGGCAATAGCCCAAACACGATGAAAGGAAAAGTAAGATGAAATATAAACTTCACCTTCAGAACAGTACAGTGCTTAAAAAGTGTGAACACTGAAATATAGATAATGCTGTTGTCTTTTTAGTTCCACATTTTCATCAATATTTTTAAAAAGTTTAAAACTGTATTTATTAATTCTGTTAAGATATTTTTCTTTCATTGCATTTATAAATAATATATGGTTATTTGTTACATATTTTGAAATATTTTTAACTTTTATAAAGACAAGTTATAAGGATAGTACAAAGAGGCCAGGCACGATGGCTCACACCTGTAATCCTAGAACTTTGGGAGGCCAAGGTGGGTGGATCACCTGAGGTCAAGAGTTTGGGACAAGCCTAGCCAACATTGTGAAACCCCGTCTGTTTTAAAAATACAAAAATTGGCTGGGTGTAGTGGCGGGAGCCTATAATCCCAGCTACTTAGGAGGCTGAGGCAGGAGAATCACTTGAACTCAGAGGGCAGAGGTTGCAGTGAGCCAAGATCACGCCACTTCACTCTAGCTGGAGCGAAAGAGTAGAATTCTGTCTCAAAAAAAAAAAAAAAAAAAAGAAGAGTAAAAAGCACTATCAGCTTCTCCAGTTGTTACTACATTTACTTCTCCACTTTAACTACATTTATTGTTGTGTGTGTATGTATATATATTATTGTGTGTGTATGTGTGTGTGTATATATATACACATGTATATATTCCTTCAAACTATTTCAGTGTAATTTGTAGACATAACACAATACACTCAACAAAATCAGAAATTTAACATTTATGACATTGATAAAATCCTACCACCTAATCCTTAAATCCCTCCCATTTCACCAATTGTCTCAAGAATGCCCTTTTTTATTTAAAAAACAAACTTTTTTGTTATTTTTTTTCCAGCACAGGATTTAATCCAAGATCACGTGCTGCATTTTGTTGTCATATCTCTTTAGTTTTCAGTGTGGGACATTATCTGTCTCGCCTTGCTTTTTTTGTGGCATTGTTACTTTTGATGAGTACAGTCCAGTTATTTTCTAAAGTTTGCCTGATGTTTCCTCATTTACATTCAGATGATGGATTTTTAGTAGGGATTCCTAACGAGTGATTCCCTGTTCTCCACAGTGCATCATATCAGGAGGCACACAATGTTGATCAATTGATGAAGGTAATGTCTTCTACGTTGCTCTATTATAAAATTGCAAATCTTCCCATGCATGGAATATTTTGAAACTATATAAGTATTCCATTACCCTTTAAATCTTCACACACTAGATTTAGCATTTGTTGATGATTTTTGGCTGAAACAATTATTACAATGATGGTTACTCAGTGGTGATTTTCTAATTTCCTTATTCATCTACATTTATTAATTCACATTCAACTGTGAGAAAAATCCCTGTCTTCTATATTTATCTGTTTATTCCTTTATTTATATGGATACAAACTTATGGATAACTATTTTCTTCCAAGTGATGTAATACATTAACATCATTATTTATTTTGATTCTCACATTATCCCAGATTGGGCCATTAGGAGCCCCTAGATGTTAGCACATATATCATTTTGACAAGTCTTCCTCATTATTTGAGTATTTCCTCACTTTCTGGCACAAGATACTCCAGATTCATCTTGTATTTTTCCTGTTCTGGTCTTTGAGTCAGCCCTTTCTCTAAGGAACTCTCCTGCAGTGAAGAGTGGCTTTTAGAAACCAAGATCTGGGCACTGAGTGTACTCACATCTCCCTTAGTGGTATCGTTTCTAGGCCCTCACAGTGGACAGAGCTATCAATCACACACACACACATATATTTACACACACACACATATAAAATGTAGCACCTGTATACATTTCTTTATCATCTCTCTCTCTCTATCTCTCTATCTATCCATCTATCCATCAAACATGAGCTTACATTAGTATCTCTAAATCTAACTCAACACCACAGCATTCCCTGTAGCCTATACCCTTTCTATATATGCAAAATTTTTCTCTAAAAGTGGGAAACTTGACTCCCATTATCCTCAACATGTATTTGATCATTCACCATGTATGTGGCTAACATCTCAATTCTGCCAACCATCTTTTCAGCCTCAGCACCTTAATATAATGGTAAACCAGATACTGTGATCATTCAGCTGATTTTTGGTTCTTATGAAGGTGCTTTTTGTGTGCAGATAGTTGTTCCATTTGGCATTCCTGTAGGGGGGATTACGGCTGGAGGCTTCTATTTGGCCACCATTCGCCCCATTTGGCTCCTTGCCCCTGGTCCCATCCCGCAATGGCCCCACTGGCCTTGATCCTAACTATCTATTTATCCTGCTCCATAGGTTCTTGCAATCTGATAGCATCCTTGACCCTGGTTCCACCAGCCCCAGCCAGCATCCTTGATTCTGACACTTGCTCAGCTATGGCCTTACAGTCTCACTATGTCTTGTCACCTCAAAGGTAGAGAAGGGAAGAGAAGGATAAGAAAAAGAGCAGAAAAAACAGACAACTTTTAAAAATGAACACAAAGGGAAGAGACAGGAAGAGAAGAGTAAAAAAAAAAAAGCTAGGTCAGTATTTTTTAGGAATAGACTTATACAGACCTAAGTCCCTTAGAAAAAGTAATTCGGTAACCTTTAAGCAACTGTTTTCATACTTCTCTCAGTTTAATTTGGCAGTGATTTCAGGTTGTAGCTGAACTTGTATCTTTGTATATGTCCATTGCTCAAGGTTGAAAATTTGCTTGAGTATTAGGAAATTACTCAATTAAGGAAATCAATTAGCATTCTACTGTAAGAAAAATTCCTGTCTTCTACATTTATCTGTTTATTCATTTGTTTATGTATATGTGTATGAACTTATGGATAACTATTTTCTTCCAAGTGATGTAATACATTAACATCATTATTTTGATGCTACTGTAAGGAAATTTTCTACTCTAAGGAAATTAAGGAAGCGTATCTTGCAAGCAGTGTCAGCAAAAACATACCTTTTGTGGAGTGAGCATGAGATAATTCATTTTGTTTCATACTTTATATGGCCAATTAGATGTGTAAAATGCTGTCATTTGTCAAGTATTGGAAATAAAAATGAGAGATACTTTTGTTTATACAAGGTAAGATGCTTTTCCACCTTTCATTGGAAATGGACAGTTAGCTACAAGTCTGTTTCCTTGCTATGAAAACAAATATCCTTACTTCCAAGAAGATGTGGATCTGGGAGAACAGAATGCCAGGCTGGGTTCAAGCTAATTTGCCCTACTTCTTTGGACCCAGTGTATAATTATCTTAAGGATCAACACCCTACATTTTGAGAACTTGCCTGTCTTTGTGCTGTTTATATCTTCCGTATTCTTTCCTCTTTCATCTTCAATATTTAGTGTAGCTATTTTTACGAAACGTTAGCCCGTGGGAATTTTGGACAGATTTAGATAGTAGTTTTAAAGGATAAGTGGCTCAACATTTGGGGGAAAGTTAGAGTGGCAGGAGCGATAAATAAAGTAAGGAAGAAAACTCTTTCCCATCTTTCCCAGCAGGTTCTTCAGGTCTCAGGCTAGACTTTGCCCAAATCTAGTTCAGAATCCCATGGTACCTGTGCTGACTTGCTGTGTTACCCTAACACATTGCACTGGAATTGTGATTCCTTGTTTTTCTTTTTTTTCCTGTTTGTCCTGTGAACTCTTTGAGGGCAGATGACATCTCTGTTTTGGTCACCATCACATCAGTGTTTGTCACGTGTACATATTTGCTGAGTCAATGGACAGATAAATGAAGGCATTAAATGGTAAAATACAGGCGTGGGGGCAGAAACTGAATATAGATGACATATGGAGATTCACTTTCTGGAGCAACACTTTCTTAATACCTCCAATTGGGTTGATTTTCTTTTTGAAAGAGTTCATTTCTTGACACTCGGAAGAGTGTCAACTTACATACGAAGCATTTCAACAAGGAAGCACTCTGCATCTCCTCCTGCACTTAAGTGTGACTTCTACTGGTCAGCACCATCTCCACTGGGCAAAGAGCAGTGCATCTCACTTTATTCCAGTGCTGTGTCAAATGCCCATCTGTTTGCAAGTATAGATTTAAATTTCATAAATTCTGTAATTCGGCCAGAAATTTCTGGCTGCTTCCAAATATATACAGTCCTGGAACAAGTAATATGGCTTTCAAAGATGCTGTCTCAAGCCACATTATTCCTGAACGAATATGACTCATAAAGTATGTGTGCATTTTTGAGCGTTCTGAATCCATAATGACATGAACCACAGAAATTACCTCAGAAATATAATTTCCAAATTAATTCAATGAGCGTTTTCAGTGACAACAAATACATCGAAACGTCATTTGTGCCTGCCAGGGCTCTGCTAATTGTGAACAGCTTATAAGCATTGAGCCTAAAGGCCTACTTTCCTCATCATCTCTTCGACCCCCTTCACCAATTTCAAGTCTGTTTCTCCTCCTCCATTCCAGCTTCCCCGCCAAGGACAGCAAACACAGGACGTGGGAAGTTTGGAACTTTGGGGCTAGTAACTTTAAAATAAAGACAGCAGTTCTTACTTCAAAGCATTCACAGCATACTCATGACATACAGCACATTCCCCATGGATTCAGATTCATTACCTTCTTTCCTCCCCCTCCTGCATGCCGCCCTATTAGGCAGTATCATTCCAATCTTGACCACCTTCCCAAAAGACCCATTGTCCACTGGAACCCTAGGTCTATTTTCCGGAAGAATCTCTCCTCGGTATCACTCTCCGAATACAAGTGTCTATGGAAATAAAACCTAAAGGTCGACTAATGAGGTGCACTGGTCAGGGGACCTTTGTCATGGAAACTACTCCCAAGCCATCCTGCAGAAGAATGCTTCCCTTTCCAGGATTGCCCTTTCCATGGCCTCTGTGACCTGCATTCTCTGGGTTTCCCTCCCTTTACTCCACCCCGTCGGTTTTCTGGATTCTCTTTCTTTTCTTGAGCTCCTTAGGGAGATGGCCTTGGTCTTCTTCTATTCTCATTGGGACATGACCCACTAATCCATCTTATCTATCCCTATGGATTCAATTCCTCTTCTGTGCTTATGATCCCCAAACCTCTATTTCCTGACTAGATCCCCCTTTATCCAGGTTCTTCCTTCATGGCACTCTGACTGTCTCCCACACCTCAAACTTAATTTGACTAAAAAGGAGTTAAGAATCTCTACCAGACTACACCCTCCCCCACCAAAAACAAAAAACAAACAAACAAACAAAACCCAGCAAATATGCACAGCTCCCCTCTCTTCTCATTAAGAGACTCTACTCGCAGTTGTTCACCCCCAAATCTAGAAGGCTTCTCACTCTCTCTTTTCAAAGATGCAGCCCTGTTAATTATCTTTTCTTTCCATTTCTCAAGTTTATCAATTTCTGTCCTTCCTGATACTGCCATCACACTGATCGAAGCCACAGCGTGTCCTAGTCCCTCAGCTCTACCCTTGCCACAAGAGTTACTGATTTTTAAATGCAAATCTGATTGCATTGCTTTAGGCTTACAATTCTTCATTTGCTCTCTGTTAATTTAATGTTCAAAATCTGTTTTGTAGGGTATAAAGCCCTTCATAATTAGCCTTTCATAATAATTCATATTAACCCTTCACATAAAGCCTAGCTTTCATTTTTGTTTTTTATTCAACATTTACTGAATGCCAATGATGAACCCAAGTTCTGTTGTTAGGTGTTATAGGTATAGAGATGAGAAAGACAGACAAGCTCTATTATTAATGGAGCTTATACTCAAGTTAGAAAAACATACAATAAAAGCAAACACATATATAAGATAATTTAAGAGAAATGTAAAGAAAATGTGGGAGGGTAAAGATATGAAGGACTGGGAGAAGGGGGCTTTGTTAGATGGCAGTGGCCAGGGAAGACCACACTGTGGAAGGAATAATTACCACCTTATGCCAGTTTCTTACTTGCTTATTATGTAGTAGCTACATTTCCCTTCTTTTAGTTTTTGAAAACCTGAAAGCAATTGACAAACTCCACTCTGCCTCAGCTGTTTTGTATTTACTTTTATTTGTTTTTTAGTTTTTTGCTATTGCTTTTGACTTGGAACCCTCCTTCTTTGGGTAATGGATGTTCATTCTGCACGTCTCAGCTTGCAAGCTACTTCCTCAGGGAAACTATCCTCAAATGCCCAGGC